ATATAAAAAATAAAAATACGAGAGCTACTCTGTAAAAAAGCGCGATAAATCTCGAGTTCTTGTCATGGCAATGAGAGAGACGGATCCATCAATCAATTTCTCGGATTCCGGCTGATTGCCGGTGTCGCTTTTCAAGGTTTTGAGACCCGAGAGAAAGTTCTTTTTGCCAAGGAAAGCGAGAAAGTGAGAGTGAGCGAGAGGGACCGTGAAAGTGAGAGAGTGGGTAATAGCGAGCGAGGGAGATAGATAAACAGAAAGAGTGCGAGAGAGCCAGAGAGATATAGAGAGCGAGAAGAAGAGCGAGAGAGGGCGAGAGAGTGATACTGAGCAAGAGGGAGAGGGAGAGAGAGAGCGAGAGAGCGAGAGAGAGAGAGAGATCGAGCGTGGGAGAAAGACTGTCAAAAGTCACACTTCTCTTATAATACGAAATTTGACCGACCCGATCGTCATTAGCCAGCGTTGCTCGATGCTCGTGATTTGCTAAAAATGCATTATAAGATTTTTCGACAAGCTTAGCGTACCGTAGGTCACAGTACTCGACTGCGTGGTACTCGTCCGTTGTTGGCTAACTCCCTAGAAATCCTCCAGTTTTCAAAAATCAGTCAAATCACCTTCAGATGGTGTTGCGATAGTCTGGAGTTGGAATCGCGTTGGAAGGCGTCGTCAACGAGTACTGTAATTTGACGATATTTAATAAAAGGTTTGAAAATATACAGATACACTTTCAAAACCCTAGTTACCTTCACGATCATTTCCTCCAATAATTTCGACCGTCCCATGGTGCGGCCTAGGTGGAGCAACCGGAATATCGTCGATTACGGTCTCCTAAACAATTTTTATAGGATTTGTACAGTAGCTTAAAAGGTATTGCTTGCAATTATTTGCAGAATTTTCCAAAATATTTTCCTTTGAAAATACTTACTCTAACCGGCATGACGCCCTGCCCAATCCTAGTGCCCCTGATTTCCGGCAGCGTACCGTACGCGTAAACCCCGGTGTCGTTCTGAAGTAGAAGATATCAATCTGGATCGAGTAGTAGAAATAAAGAGAGGTCGAGAAAAAGCGGAAGAGAGAGAGTGAGAGTTTGAGTGAGAGAATACGCTTACTTCAGTCGCCGTTTCCGAGCTACTGCCATTACTAATGACATGCGGCACGTGGGTACGGGATCTTTCATCGAAGACGTATCTGTAAAATATGCTTTAAAAGGGTCAGGGAGCGTCAGAATGGAGCTTTCATTTGACTAGGTCCCGATAGCTACGAGTGACGCCAAGCTTATTTTGCCAAGATAAGCGGATTTTAGAACATTCAAGGCTTGACACAAAACTTTAAAACCGCTTGTTTTTATATGTGAAACATAGCTGTCGAGATCTAATAAATAACAGCAGTCGATTTTAGGGTATTATCGGTTTCTGAAAATCCGATAAATTTTATGGAAAGAAGCAGTTATAGCGATTGACCGATCCTATTCGATTACGCCAGGAAAATGCCTGGAAATTTTTCTGGATTGACTAGTTTCCCAAATCATAAAATTGTATAAACTATGATACCGATTCTTTACTTAACAGCATCGTCAAGCTAAAAAAAATACCTAACAGTCCCATCATTCATCGGCGACAGCGTACCACCGTTATTCGAAGAATCATCGGAGCGTTGCGGATCGGCAGAGAGAATCGTTCTAAAAAAGATACTTAAACTTGGCCGCTTGCCAACTCCCTTAATTTAGCGCCAATCCAAAATCTAACAGCTCAGAAGGTGACAGGTCACGGTATCGGTCGTTTTTAAAAAAAACTGACTGCTCGCTGTAGCGTTGGTTAGGTAGCGTGCCGTAACCAATATTGGCGTATCGACTGGAGTATTCACTTGGTGGCTGCTCGTATTTGCCGGGCAGGGGTGAATATCGATCCATCAGATGGAGGGCCGAGTCAACGTGGGCCTAAAAGTTCGATTTTTTTTTCGGATAAGAGCTTGCCCCGGCTCCAAATTCCAATGTGGTGGTCTTGGTGACGGTGGAGGAATAGCCGTGAGAGGTGGGGACTACCTAAAATGGGATGAATCCAAAGAGAGAGAGAGAGAGAGAGAGAGAGAGAGAGAGAGAGAGAGAGAGAGAGAGAGAGAGAGCGCGAAAAAGAACCCACCTTCTCCTCAATGACAGTACGTCCGTGAGGTAACTTTTCTACGCGTTTTGAGTACGTTGGCGGACCGGTGGGCGGGGCCTCGGGGAAGTGGAAATTGGCTAAAGGGGACGAGCTCATGGCTAAAAATCTAGTGGATTTTTTGAAATAGCGAGAGAGAGAGCGAGAAAGAGGGGGAAAAGAGAGAGAGAGAGAGAGAGAGAGAGAGAGAGAGAGAGGAGAGATAGTGAGAAAGGGAAAAGAGCGAGAGTGAGAGAGAGAGAGTGAGAGAGAGATATAAATCGGGGGAGAGAGGGAGAGGTGAGAGAGTAAGAAACACGGGAGAGAAATCGAGAGAGATAGAGAGCGAGGGAGAGGGCGAGACAAAGCGAGAGACGGATACAGATAGCGGGGAGAGAGAGAGAGAGAGAGAGAGGGGAAGAGAGTAAAGAGGAACTAGAGAAATAGAGAAAGAGTGAGAAAAAACACTAAAAATTACACAAAAATTAGCAGCAGTCCCAGCCTCCAGAGGCAAAAATTTGAATGCAGCCATAAAAGCCTGGCAAGGCTTGGGGTAGGTGAGAGAGAGAGAGTGAGAGAGAGAGAGAAAGAGAGCGTGAGAAAGGTGGGGCTTATCAACCCAACAAGCCATACCGGGTCGAGGAAGGGGCGAAGAGGTGGCCGTAGCCCTGCGTATTGCTTCTTCCTCAGCGGCTCTTCCCTCCCTGTCCCTATTTGTTGTGTTGATAACAGTCCCTCGGCTGCTTGACTCACTGCCCTCCGAGCTGAATAAACGGGGCTGTTTTTGGGGGGAGGAGTCAGCTTTTGGGGAGGCGGGCTATTTCTGATCGATCAGGGTCCAAAAAGTGTTGAAAAAGTCGCGACTAGCCCTAAATTTTCTATCATATAAAAAGATCAATATCAGATTGCTAAAAAAATAACATATCCGAACACATTCCGCCTGCTAAATCGAAGGTTCGTATTTCCCTTCACGGCAAAAAATCTGTAATAAATCCGCGGACAATAATAACCATGGAAATTTCATGTCTTTCCCTTAAAACCCTAGAATTTGGCGTAGATTTAAAAATGCGCCGCGTGCTAGCAGAATGGTGTATGACACATCGCTGGCCGGGCCGTTATTCACGCTTCCCACGGTCGTTTGCCCAGGGAACCTTGGCTAGTCCTAGGGGCATTAGAACGGGTAGAGCTTTCTTGCGCCCTTGACGGAACTTTATATTTTCCAACTTTTTAAACACGTTAGATAAAAAATAAAGAAATGTCGCAATCGGCCCCTTGAGTGAAACGGGTCTCGATAGCTACGGAATGCGCAAAATATGCTTGGCGTATTGGGATTTTTGCAACTAGCACTAGCCCTACAAGTTTTCTTTGAGACACCGTTCGGGTTTGGATTTGCGGCAGATCCGTAGCGCTTAGCGTCGAGGACAGATATTGTAACTCCAATAACTCCAATAAGTCTATACAACGAATAACGTCAATTACCTACCGTAGATAATGCGGAAGCTCGCCACTCGAATGGTGGCTGTGATGCAGAGCGGAACCGGATGTAGATCGATGAATTGAGGAATGGACCTGGGAGTGAGCTTATGACTCAGCTTGGGAGCGGAGGCAAGGTAAATCAGGGACAGCGATTCTGAAAAGAGTACCTCCTCTCTCTGCTTCTCACGTAGTAACATATCCGTCAGGGAGCTAGTACCGTAGGCGAAGGGTGGCGGTGTTTTGGTAGGGCTGAAAAAGCGTTTCGTTTATAGGAAGCGGGAGGGAAAGCGAGAGAGGGAAAGCGAGAGAGAGCGAGAGAGAGCGAGAGAGATCGAAGGAAAGAGAGCCCTGGAGAGACAGAGAGAGAGAGAGAGAGAGAGAGAGAGAGAGACAGACAGATTGAGTGAGACATCGAGACATAGCCACCTACCTCAATCCAAACGCCTCCTTCGCTTCCTCCTTGGCCTTTTTGGGAGGGGTAGGCGGTGCGGAGCCCCAAGATTGAGGGGAATGTTGGCTTGGAGAGGCTTGTTCTGAGGAAACAACAGAGCTGTGCACAATCTCTCTTGATTCCATATCCACCGTTCCGAACACCTCCCGGGTGTAGGTTGTGGTTTTCGTGATCGTGGTGTCGGCATCTGGAGAGAAATTTTTTTACCTTGGATCTCTTTTCATTTTACAAAAAAAAATATTACTAAAAACACGGGAAATTAATCTACCTTCCGAAACAGAAACGCTAACACTCCTCGTCTCCGCTGCATCATCAGCATACGGTAGATACGGCGCCTTGGCGGCTTGTGGAGGCGGAGGCGGAGGTGGTGGAGGAGGGACCGGACGTTCCGGAGTCAGAGCTTGAGGCGGGGGTGGTGGCGGGATCGGAGGAGGAGCCGGTAGACGTTCTTCTACTCTTTGGGGTGGTGACTGGTGGACCTGAAGTTTTTTAAGGTTAATTATCGTGATATTTGTATAAAATTATGGGTTAGCTGGGATGGAAAACGCAAAACTCTACTCTTTCGGTCGACTGGGCTTCGACAACTACGCGTGATGTCTAAATACGCAAGCCAGTAAGAATTCTGGACCCTGAAAATCTGCAAAATCCGCGTGAACCTTTGTTGCATGCTTTGAAATTATAGAATTCAGACGTTAGAGCGATTGTCATGTAAAAATCGACCCCTTCCCGCCCCTAGATCTTGAACACTACGCGTCATTGCTAAATACGGAAGTTATTGGGAACTAAGACCCCATAAATCTACGAATTCCGCATCACTCCTTGATTACATGCTTTGAATTCAGAAAATTCTATTTCAAGTAAGCTGGAAAGCCTGGAATTCGTCCCCCGCATGCGACTAGATCTCGACAACTACGAGTTGCACCTGTATGCGCAGGTCTACTGATCCTTGGCTCTAATTTCCGCTTCTGGAAGCCATCAATATGATGGTTCAAGTGCCTTTTGTCTTGGAACGTCACTATCTAGACCTAGGCAGCCGTAGGGGTTGATTTTTGGCCTTTTTCAGTCCCTTTAATACGCACTTTTAGGTATCTGTTGGTAATGCTGTAACAGGCCAAAGGCACCTATGCGTAAATAGGAGTGCACGTAGTGAAAAATAATAAAAATGATAAATAATAAATACAAAACAACTAACTTTTTGCTTTAAGAACGTGTCACAACACCTTCAAACCCAAACCTGAGGTATCGGTGGTGGTGGAGCCGGCCTTGTTGGTGCTGGAGGTAATGACTCGATGGTACTGTAGTAATGAGAGGAAGCCGTCTCCTCATTCTGCACCTTCTTCGTCGTGGTGGTCGTTGTGGTGACGCTGGACATGGTGACGTCGCTCAGATTCCGTCCTCCCTCAATCGGGGTAAATCGAGGCTCTTGGTGCGGCTGTCCGGAGATGGTCTTCGGTTCGAAGCGTTCAGTCTGTTCGAAGAGTGCCGCGAAATTCTTCTCGCTCATGCGCCAGTAGTTCTCGCGGAGGTATTCCTTCAAGGAATCGTCTGGAAAATGGGAGTTTTTGGATTCATAAAAAAACCTTGAAAGATGGGTCAACCACATCGAATTGAAAGTGTTGAAAAACACTAAAAATCAAGGGGAGTTTTCAAGGTAGTTCTACTTCGTCATGATTTTCTTCATACAATTTTCACAGAATCTGCTTAAATCTGGTGAAACTTAGTTGGAATATCTGAAAAGCTGATAATAGAAATTCCAAAGTTTTTTGGTTACTTACTAATGTAGGCTTTCGTACTTTAAGGGAGTGAGCAAGACATGAAAGAGAACGGGAGAGCGCGAGAAGAGAAGAGCGAGGGCGTGAGACAGAGAGAGGGGGGGGAGGGCGAGAGAGAGCGAGAGAGTGAGAGAGAGAGTGAGAGAGAGTGAGAGAGAGAGAGAGAGAGCAAGTAAATGATGTTTCGTCAATGTATTTTTCAAAACCTAAAGTCCGACAAAACGTTTTCAAAAATAACAAAAAAGCAAAAAATATATATATATACCAGATGGTTACAGTCGCTTCGCGACTGCAACCATCTGGCCTTCGGGCTACCCTACATGTCCCACTCCACCACATCCTTTCCCACCTCCATCAATACCCCCCATAGCCGAAATCCCCTTCAAAAACTACCTAAATACCTTCCTGATGGCTTAAGATACCCCCCATGGCTGAAATCCCCTTCAAAAACTACCTAAATACCTTCTGATGGCTTCAGATACCCCCCATGGCTGAAATCCCCTTCAAAAACTACCTAAATACCTTCTGATGGCTTCAGATACCCCCCATAGCCGAAATCCCCGTCAAAAACTACCTAAATACCTTCCCGATGGCTTCAGATACCCCCCATGGCTGAAATCCCCTTCAAAAACTACCTAAATATCTTCCCGATGGCTTCAAATACCCCCCATAGCCGAAATCCCCGTCAAAAACTACCTAAATACCTTCCCGATGGCTTCAGATACCCCCATGGCTGAAATCCCCGTCAAAAACTACCTAAATATCTTCCCGATGGCTTCAAATACCCCCCATAGCCGAAATCCCCGTCAAAACTACCTAAATACCTTCCTGATGGCTTCAGATACCCCCCATGGCTGAAATCCCCGTCAAAAACTACCTAAATACCTTCCCGATGGCTTCAGATACCCCCCATGGCTGAAATCCCCTTCAAAAACTACCTAAATATCTTCCCGATGGCTTCAAATACCCCCCCATAGCCGAAATCCCCTTCAAAAACTACCTAAATACCTTCCCGATGGCTTTAGATGATTTAAATAATTAATTAACATAATTAAAAAGTATTAAAAAGTATTAAAAAGTATTAAAGTAACTTAAAAAGCTATCTGGGCGCGGGAAGGGGCCTGGGGGAAGAGGGGCGAAGGGAAAGGGGGCGTGGCCTCCCGGGAGAGGGGTTCCCACTCGTTTTATTAAGGCGCCACTTTCAAAGTTAATTTTAATAATTTAAACTAAAACTTTTTCATAATTTTTTATCAGTTTGGGGGTTTCTGACCACGCTCTATCCGAATCCGAAGAGAGCTAAGCTCTAGCTCCTTTCCCCTTCGAGTTGAATTCGGCTTCAGACACACAGACACACGGACGGACGTCTTTACTTTTTTATTATAGTTGATATATTTAAATAAGGATAGAACGTTTGGCGCATTTACTAAGTTTGTAGGTGTCAAGGTATCGCAGCGTAACTTCAAGGAATTTGTCTGATATTTAGCTCGCAGACGTAATGCGGGAAAAGCGGTTCCGGAAATCGATGCCGGGTGGGAGGTGCCGATTCATGGCTTCAATTGAAGTGAGGGATGGGAAGGAGGGGAGGCTCTCCCCCCTTATCAAAACGTACCGTGCTTCTTCTCAAACATGCATTCGCTGTTGAATTTGTACTCGGGGTGCCCATGGAGATTGAGACGACGCAGGATACCGATGTTGATCGGGGCTCCATCCGAGTCTCCCACGAGGAGCACGATGTTTTTGCGCAGGTGCAGCGGGATGTAGGTTAGGACCTGAAAATTATGGCATTTCGAGAGGAGATTTAGCTTGGGTCCCAAATGATCGCTGCTAGCGTGCCTGCCGCTGTTTTGCCATTTTTTTCTGGTTTGCAAAAGCCAGTTCTCAAAAGATCTCTGTGAGTTTGCCCTAAAACTCTAGAGACACTGAGCAAAGTTTGGAAGAGCATTTCAAAAAATTTTCTTTCACCAAAGAATCTCTTCTAGCCAGTCGTATATCGCTGAGAGAGCGACCAGATAAAGCTTTAATGACTCTCTCCATGAATCTTTGTTAGCCTTTCCGCAAGACCTTAAGAATTGGGGACGGCTCGATTCCCACATGTTCCCTGCTAGCCTACCCTCAATTCTAGGGAAATCTGGGCGAGCTTAGAAACAAAATCCTCATGGATCTCTGCTAGTCTGCCAATAGATGGTATTAGGACCCGTTAGGCAAAC